GCACCTTAGGTATCGTCTATCATATGTTGCAGGGCCTCATGGCCTGCCTGGCTATTCCCTTCTCTCTCCCTCTGCTGTCTTCCTGTCTTCCTTCCTTATGGGTCCCGTGTGTATATGGTGGTGTATTCATGTGATTGGCTGATTGTTGCTTTGGTGGCTCAGAGGGCGCTCATTTTTCTACTTCCCCCTTCTGGCTTCTGTACACTTGCCATGGCTCTTGCTGGGCGACAGCGCCCGTTCTTGTGTATGTAGCCGGAATCGGTGTTTGTCAACGTTCTACAAGGCAGCCGGTGCTCTCTGTTGCCATCTGTTTGTCCGCCGGTGCCAGTGCAGGGAGGGGTAGACAGGCCGTGTGCATGCTTTGCATGTACATGCTGCTAGTTTAGCGCGTGAGACAACAGGATCCCTCCGGGGTTACAGACACGAGTCTCGTTAAACACACTAACCAACCAACCAAGACGGATCAACTACCAGGAACACCATCCCCTCCCTCCCTCCCTCAGACGAGAACCTGCTGCGTGTCAGCGAGAGGCTGGCCAGGTGCCCTAAGGTTCTCCGTAAATCGCCCGTGAGCATGGGTCTGGGACGTCCCACTTGTTCCCAAAACAGAGGGGAGAGAGAAAAACTGAATGATCTGAAAACGAAGCAACGATGAAGATCCTTGGGCTTGTCGGTACCATCCTTGCCTTCTGCGCCGCCATCCTCATGATTGCCGGTGAGAATGCAGTGATTGCCGGGGAGGGAGGTCCTTTGTCCAGTTGTGTTTGTTTGTCGACAGCCATGGCGACGGACCACTGGCGTGCGAATCGAGTGAATATTGGTGTTGACTCTGGAGTCGACGGTGTCATCGACATGCTTTTTCAAGCCTACGGTAGGGATGCGTTGATTCACGATGATAGGAGCTGGGCTGTGCTTTCGTGCCATTGATCACTCGTGCAGGCCTGACCCACGCCGTGGCGGGCTTCACTGGGAAGGGCACAAGCGAATACTGCGACGAGAATAACATCCAAGCCATCGCCCAGGTTGTGACCGACCCACTCGTGGCAGGGTTCGCAGAACAGGTGGACTCGACATTCACATGCCTTCAGAAAGACGGTAAGCATGATTAGATGCACACGAGCTGTGTGCATTTCGCATCTCGTACTGTACACGTCTGTCCGTGCAGCTTATCTGGTGAAGGGCAAGTCGGTAGACGCGTGTGTGTGCCGCACCAGTTACGAGGACCTGAGGGACTACTGGCAATTTCATGGTATGTACAGGCAGCTGCTCAGTTATCCCCCTCCATCAATCATGTGTTCTGCTTGGGTGTATTTCAGACCAAATCCACCACGATTGCAACTGAGACAACTGGGTGGGGTGGAGAGCCTCGCACACACACCGAATCAGTCAGTAATACGCATTTGTGCGTCTCGTTGCAGGACGAATGCAAGGCCCTGCAGAAGAATATCAACGGCGGCTACACTATGGTCTCACTGGGGTGAGCTGCCTAACCCGTTTTTTTCAGCCAGAGGATCCACAGTGACCTGTCGATGCTGTCCTTTCAGGACCTTCGGCGTGGCCCTTCTGTTCGTTGGCGCCGTTGCCGGGTAGGTCTCCCTCTGCTCCATGCACCATGCCTTTATGAGCTTCTGCAAATTGACCATTCGTTTTTGTGGCTTGCGAGCAGTGTCCTCAGCTTGCTGGGCAACGACAAGCTTGCGATATTCATCCCCTTCAGCTACACTGGAGCACTCATCTTCTTCTTCGTCGGTCAGCAACATACTGGCGCCCAGTACACAGACAGACCGATGTCGCTCGGCTTGTTTGTACGTGAAGGTATTATGGTGTGGGGCATCTTGACGAACGGCTCTCGCACGGAATACCCGAAATGCCTTGACAAGGACGGCGAGAGGATCGTGTGCCCCCTCGACTACTCCTCCATCATCGCCATCGTAGCCATCCTCCTCACACTCATCTCTGCGATCCTCGCATTTCTGCCGGTGAGCAAGGGAGGCATGTTCCTATGGTGTCCTTTTATACTGCCCCGATGGCTGTTTGTCTGTTGTGTCTGCTGTGTGGTGCAGATGATAAGCAAGATGAAGGCCGCCTTCTGTCTCGGCGTCATGATAAGATGTTTGATATGTTGCGGTTGCGAGTTGCCAGACTCGTATGGCCCGCCAACGAAGGAGCAGGTGCAAGACGAGCAACTCCGTCGCAAAACAGATCGGCAAATGGGTTCCAATAAGGGTGTGGATACCGGCCTGGGCGTGTAGCGTCAATCAGCTGCGCTGCCTGTATGTGAAAGGTATTACATGCTCGAATGCCGTAAATGGGTGTGCTTTCTGTCGGTCTGTCCATGGCTTTCGTCATTTTGTTGTCCATGTGCTATCGCATGATGTGAACCATGGGTGATTTGTGCTGTTTATCTGGGCGGGTCATTCGTGTCGATGGCGGACGAGGTAGAGGTGCTGCGTGTGGTGCAGTAGCGAGGGAGGGAGGGAGGGAGATGTGCTTCTCCCTCTCTCTTGCTGTACGAACATAAATGTCTGCCTTCCGTCCATTTGTGCCGTCCTCTGTGCGCCCCTGTCTGCCTGTCTGTCTGTCTGTCTGTCCTTCTTTTGTGCCTCATCTAAGTTAGCTGATCTGCCGGCACACTGCTGGTGCCCCCGTGTGAGAGTGTGCATTGGTGTGTTTATTCGTTGATCGCTGGGTGTATGTGCGCTGGCTGGACTGCAATGAATGAGCGACTGTGGCTGCCTGTGTATTTGTCGTTATCCTGCCCTGATGTGTGTGTGGGGGGGTCTGTGTGTGCATCGGCGAGCCGGACCTGTCTGACACTTAAAGAGACTATTTTTCTCCCTGACCTGCCTGCCTCTGTCTGTCTGTCTGTCCGTCCGTCCGCATGTGTATTGAGTGAGTGACAGTGGTGTGGTAGTGCTTTGTGGTGCGAAAGGGGGAGGGGACTCACATCAGTAAGCACACGCAAATGCAATTGATCCAGATTCAACAGATTACAATTGAACAGCAAAGCCTGACTGGTCAACTGACCAGACAAAAATGAGACACGAATTTCGGTTTCTTGAGCACGATGCAAGCCCACGAGATTATCGTCGGCAGTTAGTCTGCCCTTATCTTTTCCTCCATCTCTCTCATGCGGTTGGATAGTAATGCGAGCGACCACCAATGATTATTGACGCATCCGTCCATCAAATGAAGTGCCTGTCTGTGGCTTGCATCGTCCTCACGAACCACCAATTCCCCTGTCTGTGGCTGTCCTACCCCCTGCATGACTGACACACACCGACGGCTGCTGAGAGCACTCCCATAAACCCTGGCTCCCACGCTTACATAAACACAACAAACGACACGCACGCAAACACTGACCAGTCCATGAATGCACGGACATCTGTCGCTCTGTCTCATCAAGTCAGCGTTGACACAAACGCATGGAACTACACACCTTTCCAACAGGCAGGCAGCTCAAACAGCTTAAAGAAAGAAACACCGACAAGTAGTCGACAGAGGCAGAAAAATACCAGACACGTTGCACGAAGATATCATTGAACGCACACACGCAGGCAAACAGCTACGTGATGAAGTGCAACACTCATAAAGCGCCACACAGACGTACACTCATAGAGCAGACACACGTGCACAGTGCAGTGAGGAGGAACGTTTGTTCCACACACATGACCGTAACCGTAACCCCAAAGCAGGTCTACTAAAAAGACCACCCCTAGGATCGCCATCGCTATCCCTCCCCCGACCCACCACGAGCTTCTCGTGCGTGCCACTGCGTCAGAACACACACAGTCAGGACAGCGCTGTTGCGGGGGTGCTGGACGGCCATCGGACACAGGGGGGCCTTTGCCTGGCTGCGGATGCGGCTCGGTCGGTTGCGGCTCGCCCGGCTGCGGCTGGGGCTCGGGCGGTTGCGTCGGCTGTGGCTGCGCTTGACCATCATCCTGCACTTGCAGCACCTCTAGCTCATCAGCGGAGAAATATTCTGACGGCTCGCCCCTCTGGTCCCCCCCCCCCC